GACCAAACTCGACTGTGGCAGGCTGGTCAGCCCTGCCCCCTTCACTTCCTGGACTTGATAATGTGGCCACTGTAGCCTTAGCCTGGGTTGGGTTATGCCTGGTCTGGCTTATCTTTATTTCTTGGGTCATGAAGAATGAGGTGTCACTTTCCTGTCATTCCAGCCACGTAAGAGATGGAGATTAAGAAGGCCAAGGCATGAGGCCAGTCCAAGTGGATATTAGGGAGACTCCATCTCAATCAAACAAGCCAAGCATAGCAGTGTGTGTCTATAATCCCTCCTACCCACCAAGATAGCATAGATAAGAGGATCGCAGTCTAAGAGCTCAGGAAAAAACCCAAGAGTATATCTGAAAAATAACTAAGGCCAAAAAAAAAAAAAGACTGCCAAGCATGCATGAGACCTTGCGTTCAAACCACAGTACTGATGAGAGAGAGAAAGAGAAAGAGAGAGAGGGAGAGAGAGAGAGAGAGAGAGAGAGACTGACAACTACCTGTTCCTAGGGAATCTTAGCACACAGAACAAGAGTGAGTATACCCCAGCGAAGAGAAAGAGACTGAGTTCATTGATGAAGTTCTCTCTCTCTCTCTCTCTCTTTCATTTTGTAAATGATGGGGCTTGAATTCAGGACCTGAGCGCTGTCCCTCAGCTCTTCAGCTCAAGGCCAGCACTCTACCACTTGAGGCACAGTGCCACTTCCAGTTTTCTGGTGGTTTATTGGCCATAAGAGTCTCATGGACTTTCCTGCCTGGGTTGGCTTTGAACCACAATCCTCAGACCTCAGCTTCCTATGTAGCTAGGATGACAGGTGTGAGTCACCGGTGCCCAGCTTCTTTGTTGATGGAATAAATGATTCTCTGGGTAACACCGATAACACTTGAATGACCTGAGGACCAGCCGCATGCAAGGTCTGTGTTGAAGATACGGAAATAGTTTAAAACTGAAAACTTAGTATAGCCCTCTAAGGACTACAGGAAATGATGTAGACCATAACAAGAGTCCCCTAGGGTTATTAGGAGAACCAGAGATTCCACAGAATCACAGACCATGGCTTCTTTCATGAAGGACCCTGCAGAGGGATAGCTGAGAATCTTGAAACGGGTGACATTGATCAAAATATAGTGTATTCATACATGGCTTTGTTAAATGGTGATTCCTTTGGACAACTACACCAAAAAGTATACAATGGCAGAACACCTGCATTAACAAGGGCCCAAAGGTCTGGCTGTTGGTCTCCATGACATCAGTGTTCTGTTTCTTTTTCTCTAGTAGGAAGCGGATGCAAGCCACCTAGTCCCCTGCCACCCAGTGGTCATTTCCCTCTGACAGCTAAGCCAGACCATGTTCATTGTCATCAGTCTAACGTTATCAGAAGCAGTGCTTGAGACAGAATCCAAGAACCGCCTCATGTCTGGACTGTAAGTGACTTACAAATCACAGTGCCTCATTTTATGGATTAAAGGCACTGATGCAGTAGTTAAGATTACAGGCTTGGCCAGGTACTGATCGCTCACGCCTGTCATCCTAGCTATTCAGGAGGCTGAGCTCTGAGGATCATGGTTCAAAGCCAGCCCAGGCAGGAACATCTGTGAGACTCTTATGAACCACCAGAAAAGTGGAAGTGGTGCTGTGGCTCAAGTGGTAGAGCACTTGCTTTGAGCTGAAGAGCTGAGGGACAGTGCTCAGGCCCAGAGTTCAAGCCCCAAAACTTTTTAAAAAAGAAAGAAAGGAAGAAAGAAAGGAAGGAAGGAAAGAAGGAAGGAAAGGAAGGAAGGAAGGAAGGAAGGAAGGAAGGAAGGAAGGAAGGAAGGAAGGAAGGAAGATTGTTGGCCAGACTGCCTGTTTTTAAGTTAGGTTATTTGTCTTTTTGTTGAATGATATCTGGATTTACTTAACGTCTAAAAAATAATTTGCTACTATCAAATGAATGCTTGCAAGCTGTCCTTCTTCTCCTCGTGGATGTTCTGCTGTTCTCCTCCAGCAGGCATGTGTCGGGCTCGATCATTATCTTGGTGCAGGAACAACATGTCCTGGAGCCTCTCAGTCCTGTAATTACCGGAACCTGTGGCCCAGGGCCAGGATCAATGCCCTGAGTCAGTGAGCCTGATTTTCTAGTTTAGCTTCTTTGGGGTGGCAGGCCTTATTCTCTAGAACAATTGGTGAAGTTCTCCCTTGAGGGTTGCATTCTGAATCTGTGACTTGAAAATAAATTCAAATCTGAAGGAAAAGCTGGGTGTTAAACTTGCTATGATTAAGCTGGGTGTCAGTGGCTCATGCTGTAATCCTAGCAACTCAGGAGGCTGGGATCTGAGGATCGTGATTTGAGGTAGGAAAGTCCATAAGAAGCTTATCTCCAAGTAGCCACCCCCAAAATAAGGCAGAAGTGGAGCTATGGCTTAAAGTGGGAGAGTACTAACCTTGAGTGAAAAAGCTCAGGGATGGCACCCAGGCCCTGAGTTCAAACACAAAAACAAAGCAAACAAACAAAAACTTGGTGCTATTAATTTATTTCTCCCCTAAGTGATTTGATTTTTTCCAACTTAACTCATAAAGTTTCAAAATATATTGAACATTTTAGGCTATAATTTTACAGCTACTTTATTAGTTGCTGAACTGTAGTATATAACATCCCCCCTAAACCTCTCTAAATAAGGTCATAATTAGGGTGTATAAATAGAAAGAATGCATATTGCATATAAAATTGTGTTCTATCATTTTATCTACAAGTTAACTTCTTAACAATGACATGTATTTGGGCTTGTATGGTATAATCTTTAAAATTCTTGTCTTTTGTCTATTAGAGATGCCTCCAAAGTTGTAATTATTTATAGACTTTCTTGAGCTTAGGATGTGTTCTTAGCATGGAAGCCAATCTTCCCAAGGGTGAAATTAAACTGCTTGTGTCTTTTTCTTAAAAAGTGGAGATTTCAGATATTTTTGGAACAAATGTTTCACAGAGAAAGGACTTTAAATTCTAATAATTTTACTCATTTAGATTCCATATATGAATATATATATATATTTGATAATTATTTTACAATGATTAGCATTCCAGGTAATTTATTTATATATGTAATTATATATTATATATTTTATGTTTCAGAAATAAAAAAAAGCTTCTAATACCCAGAAAAATTTGCCTACACACACAACACACACACACACACACACACACACACACACACACACGCACACTGAGGACCAAGCATCAATTGCCAGTGACACTATCTTTGATCTCCATCCAATACTGTGATACTTCCCAACGAACACTTGGGCATCTTCTTGTTTGAATGATTTGATTGTTCACTCATACAGTAGGTCTGGGACCAAGTGTGACATCTCTTTTGCAAAACTCATTGTTTTAGGCAACTCTCAAGGCCAACTCTATTTTAGCCTGGTTAACTAAGATGGAAGGCAGACTGTAAAAATATCATGAAGCTATTATAAAGGATGAGACGTTGGTCAAGATGCATTGTCCCCATCATCTGACTTGTTGAATTGAAGCCCCCTTTATACAACTCCTTAAAATTAGAGAAAGAAATAATAGAAAGCTTTCTGCATTCCCACTTGAACAGATTGCTAAGGTACATCAAATACAAAAGGAAGTCATACCATGCAAAGTTTGTTATTGTTTATATAGAAGAGGGAATAGACTTTCATATGAACTTACATATAGATAGGAAGCCTACAGAAGGATTAGTAAGAACCTAGCAGAATGGCCATGGTGGCTTGTGGAAGGGGGAGAGACCAAATAGAAGACTCACTTTTCACTTTGTGTTGAGAGGTTAAAGTGAATCTAAGAGATGATAGATACAGCTGCATTAACAGTATGTTTCAGCACACGTATCTAAGCCTACATGACAGACCTGTCTTCGTCTCCCAGTCAAAGCCTCATGCCTCACAAACACTTCCTTATGTCTGTCTATGCAAACACTTCCTTATGTCTGTCCATCCAAAGCCAGGAGTCCCTCTGCACCCATACTGTCCTGTAATCACCCGCCCCCCGTATCCCCCGCCCACCACACACACACTATTCACAGGCCGATTCGATGCTGTGGCCCCAAGGACTCCCTGTCCCCTCCAGACCACAACGAGGAAAATCTGTCTTCTTTCCTCAAAGTGGACAGCATTCTGGCTTCAAGCAAACAGCTTCATTTGGTAAATCTTTGCAATAAAACGTTATGTTCTACCCCATGTGCTGTCTTCACTTAGCACGTTTCTGAGGCTCGTCTCCGTGGTATGCATCTCGAGTTGCTGCTCTTGTCCTGTTTATCTCCTTCATCTTAGTAGAAAATTTTGTTTGTTTATTTGCATAAATTGCCTATACCAAGAGGGGTCTCATCCTGATATTTCTGTACACACATTTGATATAATTTGATCAAATTTGCCCTCTATTACTATTTCATAACCTTTTCCCCTCCAAATACCCCTCATTTTAAAAAAATGGGTGTGTTTTTCTATTTTTATTACTATATTGGAAAACAGGAATGACTCCATTACTGTGTTGTAACATGTTATTTAAGCTGTTTTCCATTGACAGTCTAATAAATGATCTTTTACTGGTGTCTTAGTCCTCATTGGACTATTGTTTCTGTTGATTATCTATCTGGGAGTGATTTCCAGTCCACCTTGCTAAATACTGCCCAACAGAAAGCTTTCTGAGGGCAGGCCATACACGTCTCTCTTGTCTATGTTTCTAAAAATCCACTTAAAATTGTTGGCTCCATTTCTTCTTAAGCCTTCATGCATCAAGTTTTTGGTTAATTTCTGCCTCTAAGGAATGACAAAGTACCCATTTGTAGGCAGAAAGATAAAATTGCTCAGTACTTTCTGCCTTCTGTCTTAATTCAGTAGAGCAGATAAATATGCTCATTTGTGATTAGCATTCTAGAAAGTATATAAAGGTCCTATTTCCTCCTTCTTCATCTCACTTCCCGCCACATTCATCAGGCTTGCTTTCCCCAACAGAAAGGCACAGAGGTCCAAGGGACCCCTAAAACATGAGGATCCTCTTTCTTTTTGCTGCTTTCTTCTGTTGTTTGGTCCAGAAAAGCTCAGGTACGTGTCACCTGGGAGCTGGAATGGAGCTGTGTGTGAGTGAGCCAGTGCAGGAACAGGGTGTGGGTCTGTCTGTGTGTGCAGGGAGTGTGTGCAGGGACACCATGCGGGGCTCAGACCCTCACCCCTTTCATCTTCATTAGGAAGAGTTTTAAGACTAAATAAGGAGTGTGAGTATCCTGACGCAAGACAAAGAGCCTATGTATTCTGAGACAAACGGGACACGCTTGCTGCTGTCTGAGAAAGCTTTTCAGCTCGATGATGGTCGGGGAAGTGTCAGAGCAAATCAAAGATCTTCTCCAGCAGCCCAGCAGCCACAGACAGAAACTCAGCGTGCCCAAGGGAACATGCTGCTTATTGCTGTGCAGTGACGGCTTGCAGTCATAAATAATCTTCCTTCGGCTAGATAAACTCCTAGATAAACTCCTTTATTGATGAGAAAACCAAAATATTAGCCATCTAAATGAGTCATCCATTATTCACAGAAGACTGGAATCCACATCCCCAGTCCGCGAGGCTGGTGGCGCTGATATCTTTTTAAAAAAGTTTTTCAAAAGTTTTTTTGCTATGATAAAGGTGATTTACAAAGGGGTCCCTTTATGTTTATTAAAGGTTTTATTGAGGGCTTCACTCTGCTTTTCCTGCCAAGTAAAAGCAGGATTGAAGTGGTATAGGCTCAGAGTCTTGTCTGTGTGTGTATGTGTGTGTGCACACGCATGATGCGCGTGTGTGGGTGCCAGCCCATGACTCTGTTATTGTGTATGAATCATGACCAGTAGCATTTGCAGACCTGACATGGTTCAGAAAGGCCTTTTATTAATCATGTCTTTCCTGAAGCGTCTTCTTTATGACAACTTTAGGTAGGTGTATGTCTTATAGTTCCACAAGTCGAGGTTTTATTTTCTTAGGAATGAAACTAAAAAAGAAATTGCCTCAAGCTGAGAATCAGAACAATTTCCAATGCTCTTTGAGAGGAAGACCAACCTTTACCACGCTGCTCTGTTTTCTAAAACTTGTGTTCCCTGCTGTGCATATCTCTTTCTGGAAGGCTGGAGAACCTGGGTGTGAGGGGTGGACACGCCACACGAGGAGAGATATAAAGTGTTGCTTCTGCTTTAAAGCTAAGGGGCTAGCAGGCAGTGGAATCTGATTGTGAATCCCAGGGAAAGCTTTCCCAGGCTGTGGGCTGGGGTTATAATTTCCTCTCTGTACCATGTGAGTCAAATATGAACCCTGTCTTGTCCCGTCCGCAGAAGATCTCCCGCCTGGAATTAGAGACACTGTCTGCCTGATGCAACATGGCCAATGCAGACTTTTTTTCTGCCATTTTGGCGAGAGAAAGAGTGACATTTGCTCTGATCCCTGGAATCGATGCTGTGTCCCCTACATCAGTGACGAAGGAAACAGATTTCCGTACCAGGCATGAGATCCAGAACATAAGCGCCTGGAAGCCAGAGACCTTGATGCAGCCTTAAAGGTGGAAAAGAAAGCGTGGCTGTGAGATGCTTAATAAATGTGTGGAATGAACCCACCGCCCAAGGTGAAGGGCTATGGATGGGTTTTCTTTAAGTCCCCCTCACTTTGTCATTTTCTTTAAGGGAGTTTTCAGATTGTGTACTATTCTACTTTCTTTCCCTATCTTCTTGTTACAGTTTGTAACTATCCAGAGACAGTGGTAGAATAGTAACTAAGCTCAAACAGGAATCTCAAAGGGTAGAAATGTAGCCGATCTGCTGGCCTTCATCCCATCTACTGATGTCTTTGTATCCAAAATCTTTCTTACAAATTAGCTGAACCTACTTTGAACTCTGCCATAAATGAAGTTGCAATAAATAGTAGCATCCCACCTCTTCTCCCCTGCTTGTAACTTTTCTGAGTAAAGTCACACAGACACCCGGGACTGTGCTTCTCAGGCTTTTGGAGTATCTGTTCCATACCTGGAACAAACACCGATCTGGGAAGGGCCGGTGCCGGCCCAGGCTCAGCCTCGCTCCCGAGAGGAAGGCGGCAAGCTCGGCTCTCCAGGGAGGGCAGGCGGACCGTCCGTTCACAGCCAGCAGTACTGTCAGGGAAGGATGGACAGCGCCTGGGGAGAGCAAGTGGACACTCAGAGGCTGGCGGCTGCGGCCTAGCGCAATGCTCTCCAAGGTGTGAGCACCGGCTGCTGGCCTGTCCAGGGGATTTGTACGCCAGTTTAGGTGGGATGCAGGTACACGGAGCAAGCTTCTGGAAGGAAGATGTTTTGCAAGGGACAGGGGCAGGGAAGTGGGCAGTCTCAGAAAAGTACA